TGGTCGCCGGTTATCTTTGATCTCATGTTGAAGGATTCGTACTTCTTCTGTTTCATTTGAGCCAGCATAAGGTGCAAGACGATTTATGTGAACTACTTTTGGTTTACCTTTCGGCAACTTCTTAATTCGGTATATTACGTCATTTATTCTCTTTTTAATTTCATACGGACCCTCCCATTGTCTTTGCAGTTTAGGAGACAAGCCACGACGACGTTGTGGATTATAAAGCCAAACAAGATCACCTACTTCATAGCTTTCATTCTTGCATCGAAAATCGTATTGATCTTTCATTCTGTCACTGGCTAACTGGATGTGTTGTCGGGCAAGTTCATGAATGCTGTTCATTCTTAACTTCAGACGATCGACATAATCTTCGCTTGCAACATGTTCTTCGGAAGGTCTGCAGCCAAACTCTAGGTCGCAGGGCAAACGAACTTCACGACCTAACATCAGGCAGGTTGGAGTCTGGCCTGTAGTTTCATTCACGGCCGAGCGGTATGCCATTAAGAATAAATGAATGTGCTGATCCCAATCTCTTTGATGTTTTGATACAACTTTGGACAGGTGTTTACCCATCGTTCGGTTCATCCTCTCGACCATTCCATCTGATTGAGGATGCAGGGGTGTCGTTCTGGTCTTATTGACACCAATCAATTTACAAACGTTTTGGAAAAGGTTTGACTCGAAGTTTCGCCCTTGGTCGGAGTGGATCTCCAAGGGAACACCAAATCGGCTAAAGAATTCTTTAACAAGTACCTCTGCAACGGTAGCAGCTTCTTGATTTGGTATCGCATAGGCCTCAGTCCATTTCGTAAAATAATCCATGGCTACCAGGATATATTTATTTCCATCATTCGTCTCTGGAAGTGGACCTGCAATGTCGATTGCTACTCTCTCCATAGGACTACCAACATTGTACTGTTTCATGGGTGCCCTCTTTTTACCAACTGGACCATTACTAGTTGCACACAGTTCACATTTCCGGCACCACCTTCTTACATCATCTTTACAGTTCACCCAATAGAACCGTTCTCGAACCTTTTGCAGAGTCTTCGTAATACCAAAGTGTCCACCTGATGCACCGTCATGCAACTGACGCAATACTTCTGACACTTTACTTTTAGGTACAATCAACTGAAGCTTAGTTTCTGTACCATCATCGTTCTCAAAGGTTCTATACAGAAGATCATCTTTCAGCACTAGGCAATTCCATTGGCTCCAGTAACACTTGACTTCGGGACTACATGCACTAATGTCTTGCCAAGAAGGTCTTTCACTTCGACGCACCCAATCCAATACTCTTTTTATACATGGATCATCTGCTTGGGCGTCTTGTAGCTGTTGAGGCTGCCATTGGTCATTAATAACGGTGGTTCGCCTAACGGGGCAAAATCGTTCTTCTAATTCAAGACAATGATTACGATTTGCACTGTATGGCCGTCTTGATTGAACATCAGCATTTGCATGACTTTTTCCAGCCCAGTGCTCGATCTGTTCTAGCTTTCTGACTGTTGTATTATTTTCTTGCACTTTGTGGCGAATGTGACCTTCGTTGTTACCATTCCAACATCTGGGTTCACGTTTCTTCGGCATCATGTTACGAACTACTTTCCGTACGATTTCCTCTAGACGTTTATCGTTTCGTTCGTCACTTTCTTCAGAGGTTCGTACTTGATAGCTCCGTGAAACTCGACTAGCTATCTCATGTTCCAAGGCAATGGCGAGCGCTTCATCTAAAACTTTCGGTCTTGCTAGTCGTAAAGCTTTCTGTAGTTCACTGTCTCTCAACCCATTGACGAAGGCATCTACAGCAATTTCTTCCAAAATGTTGTCTGGTACCTCTGGATAGGCCAACAGCGCTATACGAGCAATATCCGCTTCAAATTCTTGCAAACTCTCACTTGCTCGTTGAATTCTACTTCTTATTTGTACTTTGTAGACTTGTTGTAGATGGGCATCTCCGTAACGTTTGTCTAGTCGAGTAAACAAGGTCTGGTAACATTTTTCTTGACCCTTAGGAATCGATCTTAGGATATCTGCAGCATCACCTCGTAAAGCAGCAGTCAAGGAAACAGCTTTTTCTTGTTCTGTCCAATGATTGGCTGTCGCAATAGCTTCAAATTGTCTAAGGTATATGGACCAAGAAGACTTTCCATCAAATGGTGGCAATTTGAATCTCATATGATGTGTCATATCGTCCCTAGGTGATTCTTCTTTCACAACCGAATCTAAAGCTACCGTATTAATTGGTGGTAGCACTTTCGTGTTAATTATCATGGTCTCTAATTGTTTGATCTTCTCTTCTACGTTGTTTACATTTTTCTGCATCTGATCGAACGTTCTTGAGACTTCTTCAAATTTCTCATCGTTCTGAGTACATACTTCATCGAATCTTCTAGAAACCCTTTCGAGTTTCTCGTCGTTTTGTCTAGCTATTTCTTTAATAATTCGAGAAGTCTCGTCGAATCTTCTAGATACATTTTCGAATGTTTCATCAAATCTTTTGGAAACGTTCTCTAATTTATCATCATTTTTTTTAGAAGATTCTTCAATCATTTGAGAGACGTTTTCAAATTTTTTTATCATTTTTTCTGGAACTCTCTTCGATCTTCATTAAAACTGCTTCTTCTGCTGATTGAAAATGGAATGTCTCTGGGTCATCTCCATTCTTTTTAAGAACATTCTTTAGTCGTTCTTGGAGGATCTTCTTGGACCCGCTGCAGTCTTTATCACGTTCTTCTAGTTGCTCACGCAACTGTTTCACTGAAAGTTCTACTAGCAGCATCTTTGGTCAGGCACACACGTACTTTTTCAATGTTCTTTCGTACAACGATCACTACTGAACTACGCGGATGGTCACGACAAACAATGCTTTTCAAAAGTTCAAAAGTCTCTTTTTTTTCACTGTTAAATTTATGTTTACATAAATCAATTGACCCCACACCTGACACCAACTGTAACGTGATTAAATAAAACGAGCGGTTCGAATTTATATAAATATATTTATTTAAAACTTTACAGTTCCGTACTCTCTTATCAACTAAACTAACTCCTAAGATCGTTACATATATATACCAAAGTATTATGTTCGAGAATATTCGAGAGTAGTCCCACCTCTAATTCGTTATTTGACGGGTGGAAATTTACAGCGCTCGAAATATCGCCGAAACTCTCGGTGCTTCGAGATGCGACCGTTAGGTTAATCTGCGCTGAATGCATGTTCGTAACAATAGCTAATGTTTTTTAGGATTTTTTTTTCTAACATGCGTATTTCCAAGGTTCTTGAGGTTTTGAAATATGTCTAAGTTAGTATACGGGGGATATACATAGAGTAAATGAGAAGTGAACTAAAATAATTAAAAATTTAAATTAAAGAATAAAGATTAGAGTATTTACTTGATTTACTTAGCTAAGAAAAGTTTAGCGCCAACTAATTTTAGAAGAAAAATAGTAAAACATAAAAAAAGTTAATAAATGAATAAAATCAACAGAAATTGAAATAAAATAATTCTAACTCTAATTTATCATCATTTTTTTTAGAAGATTCTTCAATCATTTGAGAGACGTTTTCAAATTTTTTATCATTTTTTCTGGAACTCTCTTCGATCTTCATTAAAACTGCTTCTTCTGCTGATTGAAAATGGAATGTCTCTGGGTCATCTCCATTCTTTTTAAGAACATTCTTTAGTCGTTCTTGGAGGATCTTCTTGGACCCGCTGCAGTCTTTATCACGTTCTTCTAGTTGCTCACGCAACTGTTTCACTGAAAGTTCTACTAGCAGCATCTTTGGTCAGGCACACACGTACTTTTTCAATGTTCTTTCGTACAACGATCACTACTGAACTACGCGGATGGTCACGACAAACAATGCTTTTCAAAAGTTCAAAAGTCTCTTTTTTTTCACTGTTAAATTTATGTTTACATAAATCAATTGACCCCACACCTGACACCAACTGTAACGTGATTAAATAAAACGAGCGGTTCGAATTTATATAAATATATTTATTTAAAACTTTACAGTTCCGTACTCTCTTATCAACTAAACTAACTCCTAAGATCGTTACATATATATACCAAAGTATTATGTTCGAGAATATTCGAGAGTAGTCCCACCTCTAATTCGTTATTTGACGGGTGGAAATTTACAGCGCTCGAAATATCGCCGAAACTCTCGGTGCTTCGAGATGCGACCGTTAGGTTAATCTGCGCTGAATGCATGTTCGTAACAATAGCTAATGTTTTTTAGGATTTTTTTTTCTAACATGCGTATTTCCAAGGTTCTTGAGGTTTTGAAATATGTCTAAGTTAGTATACGGGGGATATACAAAGAGTAAATGAGAAGGGAACTAAAATAATTAAAAATTTAAATTAAAGAATAAAGATTAGAGTATTTACTTGATTTACTTAAAGAAAAGTTGAGCGCCAACTAATTTTAGAAGAAAAATAGTAAAACATAAAAAAGTTAATAAATGAATAAAATCAACAGAAATTGAAATAAAATATTTATTTGAAAATAAACAATAAACAAACATTTGCCGTTTATAACGTTACAAATGTTCGCGTAGTCCAGTTCCCTCCCTTCACAATAATAATAATATTTCTATCACAATCAACAAAGTAACAGTCAAGAATTACTCTATGGAAACCTCTAGCAGTCCAAGAAATGTTAATATTTTTGGGAGTTTCATTACAATATGGGTTTTGATGTAAACGAAAATTCAAGATTATTGGAAAACGGACCCTGTTATTAACAATAAAGCAATTGTTTCGAGTTGCACTTTTAAAAAATCCAGGTTTGAATGATCCAGCTCCCGAAGACAGAATATACAAAATTAGACCTGTCATTAATTTTTTTAACAAAAGGATTTCGCTAAAAGTGTAACAAATATGCGATTGTATAGTTAAATCAAACAAGAGAACAAAAAGGATCTAACACTACAAAGTACTTTGTACACAATTATTTTTGTGACTAAACTAAACTTTGTCAAAAATAAACTTACCATTCGTTTTAAGCCAATAATTAAGATCATCCTGGAATTGACTTAACTTGAACATATAGTTTTCTTCACTACTCCATTCCACTGGATGGTTGCTTTCAGATGACAGCAAAACTTTGGTACCATCGTGTTTTGTAATTTCGTTTAATTGAGATTCGGTTAAAAATGTTTCGTCTGAGACGCAGTACCATCCCTCATATTTTGATTTATAAATATATTGATTTTCGTCAAGGCTTTTCTGAAAGAAATTATGTAAATAGTATGATATATTATTTAAAACAAGAAGTAGTTAAATGTGTTTTGTGTTCTGTTAGGTAAGACATCCTATCTTTAGGCTCTTTTATCTGGTCTGTATTTATCGGACTTTATTTTCTATCTAACAAGGTCTTAATAAGAAACTCAAATGGTCACCAAAATAAGTTTTATTTCCTGGACTATATACAAATAATTATTCTATTTACAATATATACAAACCGGCGGTAGAGACGAAACTGAATCTAAGAGCTACTGAAAGGTCACAAGAGATCGGGATATACGTTCCGTACAGGCACAGAAGAATACTTAACTCATCAAGTTGTCAATGTTCTAGACAAAAAAAGAGATATCGCAGCTTAAAACGCTGTAAGACTTTAAGGTCATTATGCTACAAGAATGTACCATTATTACTAACAATGCAAGAGTCTTCTGCAAACACATAAACACTAAATTTGCAATCACGGCTTCGTAGATACGGATTGTCTCACAGCTCCTTGAGTAGTTGTGCGAACGCATGCATCCAGGAGTGGAGGAGACCGGGATAAATAGACTGAGACCAAGAAATGTACTCTCAAAATCTCGTGCTGCAAAAACACTCCTCTCCAAACCCCAAGCACATCCCAACCCTATCACCTAGCTATTATTAGACAAAATTTGCAATCCCAGCTTCGTAGATACGGATGGATTCACAGCCTCTTGAGTAGTTGTTGAGAACCATGGATGTATCTAGGAGTGGAGTAGAACATGATAAGGAGACCAATCATAAGGAATGTAGTAGTCCCAAGATCTGGTGCTGCAAGAATCCTCCTCCCAACCCCCAAGCAGACACTAACCCTCTCACCAAGCTATTTTTGGTTTTCGAAATTGCCTTAGAAAAAAGGGGCAACTCTCTTTATTTATTTTACTGTCTCTTTCATGTAGGCTGTATAGGCGCCCAGGCGAAAACTGGACTTCCGGTGAGGTTGTCCTTTTTTGAAAACAGTTTTGTAATTTTTTTGGTGGCCGACTGTGATATTTGCATTTGGTGACATTACTTTCTCCTATGGTATTCTAGCTATATAGTATAGTCTATTCTAGGACCGACAACAATGGAGGGAAATAGTAAACATGGGCAAGACTCACGTAGAGTTGTAGAGCTAAATGATAATGACGATGAAGTCAAAATATACCAAATCAGACATTGAGACCAAATTAAAATGAAATAAAAGGACACCTCCTACTGAAGACATGAATGTTTTCAATAAGTGCATTACACAAGCTATCCCAGAAAGCCAAAAGAAACATTGTCCAAAAATAAAGAACGAACGGAAACTCAGCAGTGAAACCAAAACTAACACAAATGAAACAAAGAGACAATATAAAAGAAAATTTAAATACAGGTAAAGAAGTAATAAGGAAGATGAATCAAGAAGAACACAAAGTAATCAGAAAGTATTTGAGAAAATATAATAACGAAAGAATCCAACAAATGATACAGCACATAAAAGCTTGAAGATACTTCAAAACAAATTGATATCTGGAGAAAGAATAAAACAATCAAATTAAAAAACAAACAGGGTGAAATATTAAGCAATAGGACTAAGTTGTTAAAAACTGTGGAAGATTTCTGTCGAGAACTATACAGTAGTAAACGGGACACCGAAATAAAAATAAAAGAGGAAATTAAAAAACGTGGTAAGGTTCAAGGACGGAAGGTGGACACCCAGGTTAACCGAACAGAGACCAAGAACAGATAAATGAAACAGAGAAAGACGAAAAATTGTATCATCATAAATTACATTTAATTGCCGGTTCTGAAACTGTTTTCGTGTGGCATGTTTAAGTTAAATACTATGTTTATATGGGAATAAGCCACAACGGGTTGTAATGATAATTACATTTTACCTAAAAAATTCAACGTTTCGATTTCCACTCTAGAAATCGTTCTCAAAAAAGATTACAGCACATATTAACACTTAGAATAATCAGAGTTTGAAATTTTCATGGGGTAAAACATCCACCCTCACATTTTTTCAGCCAAATATGTCTGTTGCCTATAACACCGTGGTCAAAAGTGAATCAACCTCCAATTATATGATATGACATAACTCTGTCAACAATCTTGGTGGTTATACACCGTTTTTTTTTCAACAAAATTATTTAATGATCTTTTTTGAGAACAATTTTCGGAGTGAAAAGCAAAATGTCAAATTTTTTAGGTAAAATATAATTATCATTATAATCAACTGTAGCATATTCCTATATAAACTTAGTATTCAATTTAATTACCGGTCCCAAAATATATTCATAAATGTACCTCGAAATATTTATCATTAATATTTAATCATAATAAGGTAATAACGAAAAGTTTACGAAATAAAGCAAATTTCAAAAAGTAAATGGAAAGATTATGTAACACAGCGGTATCAAATTTTTAACGAAATAACAACATTGTCGGAATTCATGTATATTAAATAAGAGGCTAAAGTTGAATAATGTCAACAAAGCCCAAAATCACCGAAAATAGAAAATATTCTGAATAAGAAGACTACAAAACGAGCTACTAAAATATGCAGACAGCGTCTGGCATTAGCAGGCCTGTTGTCCTCTTCGTTACAAATTATGGCGACAGATTATAATTGATAAATGTCCTTTTTGAACCCGGTTTATTACATTGTGAATGTGTGTATATATGTTTGAGTGAGTAGAATGAGTCTTGTACTGAAATTAAATAAAAATTCTAATCCGAAAAATCGTTATAAAATAACAAATAGAAAAAATGAATTATAAAATAATGAATCGCTGGTAAAGTTTAATAGTAACATTTGTAAAATTTATTAAAAGGGTTGTAAGTAAGAACCTTTAAATAATTAGATATACATTTATTAGATACAGCACTGAAGCTTACTAGAAACATTATTACTTATCAGATATTTTTTTTGTTCTGAAAAACAAATTAAACAAATTATTTTGTTTTGTGACTGGGTAATACAAAAAAATTGAAATAATAATTATTGAATTTTATCTGCCTCATTCATATTGACAATTATTCAGATACATGTTTATGTCTTTAAAATGATAATGCCATTATTTTTGAGATTACTTTATTGGTTGATAGTTCATTCAATTACATGAAATCAATTTTAACTTAAGAATACTCGTCAGAAAAATAATAGAATGTGATTTGTATTTAAAAAGACCACACCCTATCACTCCAGCAAAATTCGCTCGTTAAGTCCATTGTTAAATATTAGGAAAAATCAGAAGAAAACTTCAACATCTCCTTGATTTCTGTATAACCAAAAGTACAGCACATAATCACTTAACAACTACATCCTTCTTCGACTTAACGTACAATCACTCGCCAATATTTCTCATCCTGTCTTCTGAAATAATTTATTTACCTCCTACATTTTATTCATCAAAAACAAATTGGAATTAAACATAAACACTTCTGTTCTCTTTTGGTCTATCATTCCCGTATCGGTTACCGCGAGATTCCTGTTCATTCCGTGGGTTATTGTATCTGTTTCCTTGGTATGGGCGGTTATTTCTACTCTGATTTTCCCGATCCCTGTTTTCATTCCATCTCTGGGTTCTGGGTTCATAATTCTCTCTTCCTTTCGGTCTATTTTCGTATCCCCGTCTAGGTATGAATTCTCGTCTTGGATAATCTCTTCTAAAATTTTGACCTCTATCTCTATATTCTTGGTTTTCTCTTTGTCTATAATTTTCTTGCGGTCTTCTTTCTCTTCTTTCATGCCTACGTGATTCTCTCATTTGCAAAAATTTACATAAGCTGTCAATGTCCTTGTAATTTTGGAGATTTATGTGGTCTTCCAAGGTATCTTCAAAGTGTCGCGATATCAACTCTACCAATTGTTCTGATGAATAATTATATTGCAAATGTTTTGCATTATTATAGAGTTGTAATGCGTACATCGTTTCTGATACGCCCATCCTCTCATGGTATTTTCCATTTTGTAACTCTTTATTTACTTGTAGTTGCTGGATTTTTCCCCAGAAATAATTTAAGAATCTTCTCTCAAAATCTTGCCAATTGTCAAATTCGTCTTCCTTGCTGACAAACCAAAGATTTGCCTCTTCTTTGAGATGGTTTCTGATGGTTTCCTTTGCTGTTGCAAACGGTCCTATGTATTTGACTTTTTCCTTTAGGATATTTATAAAAGGCACTGGGTGTAGTTTCCTTATATCCCCGCCAAATCGTACTTTTACGTCTTCTGTGCTATGTACGATAACTTCCTTTCTTTCTATTCCTCTTATCTCCATCTCTGCAATTTGTTTAAATCTCCTTTCCGTTTCTTTCCGGTCTTCTTGTAGCGCATTTTCAAATTTTATTTCTATCTGTTCTAATTCCCTTTCTTGCATACTCTGAATATCCTTCATTTTAGTTTCGATTTCTTCTCTCTGTAATTCTAGTTTCCTCTCTGTTTCTTCCCTACTTCTTTCTAAACAGACTTTTATTTCGTTTTCATATTTGTCCATACGCGTTTCCATTTTTTGTTCCATTTTTCTTTGGTTTTCTTCCAATTTGTCCAATTTTTGTTCCGTTCTTTGTTGTGATTCATCCAATTTTTGTTCCGTTCTTTGTTGTGATTCATCCATCTTCTGTGATTGGAGTTGCATCATTTGTATTAATTTTTCTATTCCCAATTCTTGTTTTTCTGTCTCCATTACTGTTGTGTCTAATACGTCTTCCTGGTCTGAATATTCTTCCTGTTCTGATTTATCTTCTTGTTTTTTGTTCTCTTTGCTCTTGTTTCTTGTGTTTGGCATTTATTCTGTTTTTATCCCCGCCAAATATAAAATTCTACTGGTCTGTTGCAACAAACGGGACTTTTCTTGTTCAAATGTAATAACTCTTGAGTACGAGTATCAAATTTCAATATCCCACAAATAAATCAAATGGTAAATATCAAATGTCAAAATCAATCAAATAAATCAAGTATGGTAAAATTATCAAATGTAAATATCACACAAATAAATCAATTATGGTAACCTATAAATTGTCAATATCACGAATAAATCAATTATGTAAATTGTATCTTAAAAAAATATATAAATCTTTATGTCCTCAAATTTTACATAATATTTCACTTTATCCACGGCATATAAACTTTCAAATATCTGCTCGTCTACTCCTATCCTTTCAAATTTGCCAACTAGAAATATTTTTCAAAGCTTTACACGTTGGGGGCCATTTTGTTAAGCTATTTAAATTGTATTCTATTGCTTATTTAGAAAAGATCCTGTCTATATTTATTAAATGATCTAATCTCCAATTAATCACAATAAATCAGCATTAATTAATTACAATCTCAGGATATTTAACTTGTACTATTTACCTTTGATCGTGGATTCAAAATATTTTCCAATTGGCTTCCTAATTGGGATAGGTAATATGACCTGAATAAAATACACAGGATTTCAACTGAAGTATATGTGAGATGTCCTTTATTTTATTGAAATTTTATATAACAATCAATCCGGTAATATTTGCAATACAATACTTTAAATATATGAGAAGTTGTTTTCTATCATGGACCCAAATGTTATTTTACATTGATTTTTAATATGTGTTATAACTAAGCTCTCTTTATAATTTTTTCTTTTTTTAAATGATCGCAAAATTAACTGTCTCTATAATTTATTCAATTTATTTAATTTATAAATGAAAACCACACTCCTGCTCTAATGAAAATTGACTGACCTTTCGTTATCTGCCGTTGCAATTCTATGGCCACGCCATAAAAAAAACCTTTCTCTGCTTCTGCTCCTATTTTGGTCCAGAAGACGTACACCTTTCTCCTCTCTGTCCTTGTATCTGCAACCCAACAACTCGTGTAATTCTATGCAGCCTCCTTTTGAACCAATCTCCGCGCCTGTTTATAACTTCAAATGTTTCCGGCTTCGTCTGCTATTAATATTCTTATAACCTTTTGGTTTTTCTATCTCTCTGTACCCCGTTCCTCACACTCATCAGCTTTTACACCGCAAATAAACACACCCGGTAAATTACGTCTTCGGGACTTCAAACAAACACAAACCACAAAGCTCCTTCCTTCTTGGGCGACGAAAACTGACTGACTCCTTTCCTCTCTCCTATCTCATAGCCAAAACCACCCCTCCTTGCATTCAAAAATTGACCAATAAAAATCTTCTACCTCTGTGACGTATATCGTTATCAACCAACTCTCTCTATTAAAACGTCATTCGGGTAATTCCAGAAAACAACATTCTTTAATTATTCTAACTAAATCTATCTGCTTTACAAATATTTCTTACTAATAGCTACAAACGATACCTGTTTCTCAATTCAATGTCTTTTGTTAATAAACTTTTACCGATATAATCTTTCGGGGGAAAAACCACCGCACATCCCGGTCTATTGTTTAAACACTTTCTATATACACTTTTATTACGGGTAAATCCATTTCACAATAACCGACTTATTTAAATTTCTTATCGATAATATTTGAAAGTCTTGTCTCTGAGGCCTAATGAACAATTCTTTGAACAACTTAAAATACATATTTTGTCTTATACAGGATGTTTGAAACTTTATATGCCCGTGTCTTTATGAAATATCAATAATCTTAATTTTTATTTAAGTAATAAAATTTGTATATCGGTTTTTATTGCTAGTGGACATTCAAAAATACAACAATATATATATATATATATATAATATATATATATATATATATATATATATATATATATATATAGCAATGCTACAATTTCCCTTCCGCTAGGTACACAAGCAATTTTCTAACATCAAAATTATTTGCTCCGCTTTTTTAAACCGATGTTGATTTAAACATATGTGGAAAAATATTTATTTTCTCATTTTTTAGCACAGTTTAATTCCTGACCGCTACATGACCAATAAGGTTTTTTAATAAATCCTTTATAAAAGGTATATAATTAAAAATACCCTGTGGGGCTACATCAGGGCGTTTTTAGACTAAAGAGTCCATCATCAGTGTAATATTAGCAGGTATACATGAGTCAAGCCACTAAATAACTTGGTAAATACCCTTTAAAAGCTACAAAATTTGTTTTGTTTTATATTATTGTTAAAAATATGTTGTGATGTTAAAGTATTTAACAGATATATGTTAAATATTTGTTATAACAGATATATGTTAATTATGTTATATTATTTTTAACAATAACGTAAAACAAAACAAATTTTGTAAATTTTAAGGATTTTCACCCAGATATTTAGTGGCTTGACTCATATATGCCTGGTATAATTACACAGATGATGGACTCTTTAGTCCGAAAGAATTCCTGTGATGTAGCCCGATACGGTATTTTTAATTATATAACTTTTATCAATTTATTTTTTTAATAACTTTTAAATAGTACTACACCCTTTTTTAAAACCAAACAAACTGTTCCAAAGAAAAAAAGGTAGTGCTAATCAAATGAAATTCCAACCGGTACTTAATAATCCTAAAGTTTTCATGACACAGGATAATAAGGAAGTAGGTAGATACGATTTTTCTGTGGTTTAGGGATCTAAACCACAGAAAAATCTAAAAAAAAATCTATCTAGTTACTACATTTAGGGATAGGTGAGGGAATTTTGGGTATTTTTTTGCCTGTTGGCATATTTCCCTAGACAAACTTTTTTTGGTAGGATTAGAGCAGTAGTTAATCCAGTAACTCGTAGTCTTGTTTTTTAAATTTTTTTATGTTTCTATTTTTTTAACCTTTATATAATTTTCCTTATAATTAACTGTTGTTTATATAATTAAATAATATTATAGAAATTTCATTTTCCTTGTGGGTCCTACAAAATAACTTTCAGAGTTTGAAAAACTGCATTTTTGAGTGTTGGTAACGCGAAATAAACTCACCCAAAATTTCCCCACTGTATTTTTATGGTTATCCCCGCTTGTTCTTATATAATTGGTGCAGCCGATATCGAACTCCGAAACCAATTTTTCAAATTGGGATGAAATTTTATCGCAGTAAACCTTAGCAGAAGTGCCGTTTTTATTAGCAGCTTGTTGAATTTTCGAACCGTGTTCGTCTGTACCTGTTGAAAATTTTATTAAACGTCCCTTTCGATATATTTGCTGCCATCTTTGAGCAGCATCCGCTATTAAGGAACTATAGAGGTGGCCTATGTGGGGACCTAAAACAAAACGAAGACATCTTAATATGATCGCTGCGTCTGCAAAACGTGACGAATATTTTCCGAGGTACATAGTTTTCATATAAAGTCGAACAGGTCTAAAAAAGGTTTGTTTTGTCTTATTTCAACTGATTAAATTATATTATATTTTTATTCTATTCCCACAACAGTCCATTTTAAAATTTTTGTTAAAAAATCGTTTACAAAAAGTATATTTATTTAAAAGAATCCTTTCAGGCTAATTTGTATGCCTTCATTGTAATTTGTCTACATATGAGGTAAAAATACCTAAAAAATAAATTTATTATTAATTAAGACAATTAATTTAAATTAATGAAACGCAATACTTAAACAATAAAAAGGTCAGATAAAAGCTTTGGAACATTGATGGTATCACGTAAGATTCTGAAAAGACTGGTGTTTCGTAGAGCAAGTTCAAGCAAAGTTCAACAAAAATTTCACCGAAAAAGCCATATTATCTTCTATTAAAGATTTTAAAATGCATATAAAATTGAGAAATGGTGTGAAACCAATCTTTTACAGAGCTTATAAAATGACGTATGCGTTAAAACCGAAAGTAGAGGAAGAGTTAAAAGTAAAGAGTGGTGAGTAGGCTAGTAGTATAGTTATTGTACCCAAAAGGAATGTAAATGAAATTAGAATTTATGTTAGTTTTAAAAAGACGTTAAATTCAACCATAGATGGGGATCGCTGTATATTACCTTTGCCTAACGATATTATATGCTAGTTTATCAGCTAGTACATATTTTACAGTGTTAGACTTAAAAGGAGCGTACCAGTATCTTGAAATAGGGGAAAAATCTAAAAAATATTTGACTAGTAACACCCATTTGGGTTTGTTTAGATGTATCAGACTTGCTTATGGCGTAAACTCAGCCCTAGGTATTTTCCAAACTATAATGGATACAGTGCTGGCCAATCTCAAAAATACTAAATGTTATTTACACGATATTTTAATTCATGGTACGACTTTAGATGAACGCCATTTAAACATGATTAACGTTTAAAAAAAATTAGAGGAATATAACATAAAAATAAATGGTAGTAAATGTAAATTTTATAAATCAAGTGTAGAATTTTTAGGGCATGTTATACATGCATATAGGTGGTTTACGTTTAACAGAAGAAAAGTCGTATGAATTAAAAATGCTGTAGCGCCAGAAAATATAATACAGTTAAAATCATATTTAGGTCTTTTAAATTTCTGTGGGAAATTTATTAGTATGTTGTCTACAAAGCTTAAACCATTATATGATTTATGCAAAGCAAACACGAAATTTGAATGAATTAAGCTGAACAAACTTTTCACCAGAGTAAAAAGTTACTAATGTCAAATTATGTATTAACTCATTATGACCATCGCCTTCCAATCGTTAATACTTGTGATGCTAATGGGTATGGAGTTGGGGCAGTATTGAACTACAACATAGATGGAGATTTAAAACCTATAATGTTTTCATCTAGTATATCAGCAGCTGACCAAAGGTATTCTAATTTGGAAAGGGAAAGTTTAGCTGTATTTGCCTTAAAACGTTTCTATAAATATGTATATATATGTTATATGCATTGTACCAACCGATGTTCCTTATCACGACGATTCCCAGGGTATCAGGTTCCACTTCCAACAACCTGAGCCGATAAGGATCCTTGCAATTGCAGTACCAGCAGAGTCAGCGGGACCCAAGCCTTTTACACGTTCCCACTGAGTCAGCATTTAGTAATATTATAAAACCGCTTGTCGCTCTTAATTCATTATTCAGTATATTTTTGTAGTTCATTCATTATATTTTATATTTCATTCATTTTTACCACGTAACTTGTATTTTGTAATTAATAAATTTTTTAAAAAGTCAAAAAAGTGTTTCGTGATATAAAAAGTGGCGCAGTCGCAGTAGGATCTGGAAACGTTGGCAGAACAAGGAGAACCTAACTGACAACGGTGGATTCCAATCCTTTAATCAGAAAAAGAACCAGAAAACTCCAAAAAGCAGTGCCGTCCTAACTTTGCAGACATCTACGGAAGGAACACCAAGTGAAGCCCCTGGTAGATTAGCTGTCGAGAACAAGACGACTAGATGTTTTTGGAACTAATGTAAGTCTAATACTGAATCATCTCGTATATAATTTTTGTTTAATACCATTTATTACCATATACTGTTCGATATTCCAATATAAAATATTCATTTAATTAATAATTTTATGCCGAATTTGAATATTTTTTGATAATTACTTTAATAATTATAAACTTTTGGCGATTATTCTGTAAATCGTCAACTTTTTTATTTTCATTTTATTAAACGATTACCTGTGTCGATTATTCTGCTAATCAGACACTGTCTTAGAAAAATACTTTTCCTATATTTTGACTTATTATTTTAATATTTACATTTTCGATTTATTATTTTGATATTTACATTTTGTTTTATTATTTGATATTTATATTTGATTAATTATTTTTTTATTAATCCATTATCTTATATTTTTATTTCTATTTCGTTTATTGATTTATTAACCACCATGAATGATAACGGAAACATTTCTCGTCCCGCTTCTCGTAATGAGAACCAGCCTGAAATAGAACCTTACAAATTATCCGAAATATTTTCTATCGTACCCGAATTTGAAGGCGATCAGATATTTTTACACACATTTTTAAATGCTTGTGATTATGCCTACAATATGTCTATGCGTGATCAAAAACAACTGTTAGTAATTCACATAAAAAATAAATTACGCGGAAGAGCAGCACAACTCATAAGTTCAAGAAATCCATTATCGTATCTAGAAATTAAACAGCTTCTTACTTCTCATTTTGGAGACACTAGAGACTTATCTTCTTTGATACAAGATTTACAGAGAGTCAAACAACTTCCAAATGAATCGGCTCTTACATTCCTTAATCGTGTCCAAGTCCTTAATGCAAAAATGCACGCCAATATACAGAAATCTAGCCTCTCTGCTCTAGAAAAACAGGCCCAAATTGTATTAATTGAATCAATGGCGCTCAATACATTATTGACCGGCCTCGATCCAAAAATCGCTCATATTATTCGTGCTAGTAATCCAAAAGACCTTCTTGAAGCTCAAGTCCGCATCAGACGAGAGTTACAATTATCCTATTTCGAAATACAAAAAATCAATAGATCCAATCCTCCAAAACCCAATCAAAATAATCAACCCATTAGAAGACCAAACCTTCAACCACATAGATGCACATTTTGTGGACGTATGGGCCACTCGTACAATGAATGTCGTTCTCGACAAAATTCCCAAAATAATTCGCAGAATTCCAACAACTCTCATAATTTTAACAATTCTCGAAATTTTAATAACCATCAAAACTTCAATAATGCTCAAAACAATGGCTTTCAAAGACCAACTTTCAGTTCAAATAATAATTTCCAAAACAATAGACCCAATGACCAACAAAGACCTCAATTTACACCAAATCAAAATAATTCACAAATACGCCCTTCTGTAATACATAAGAATCCCAATTTTTCGAACGATAGGCACAGAGCTCATTTCGTTAACTATGAACCTGACTATATTAATGACTATACTTCAGCTTTAAATGAAAGCTACCAATACGAAGATTTCTCTGATAATAATTATTCATCTACCGATTATTACCATTCATTTGATCAATCAACCGATTTAATTGATAGCCAAGACTATCAGGATTTTCTCACAGTCCCGAATCAGAACCACCCACCAGACAATACCAGTTCAATGAACGAATCTTTGTCTCAAATACAAAATCAGATACAAACTCTGAATTTGGACGACATGAACCCATCTCTGAACTTTCCAGAACAGACTTTTCTTTAAGCCCTCTTCTTGCTGTAAACTCTAAAAACCTGTACTATATAAAAGACGCATCAAATACGTTTAAATTACTTATCGATACCGGTGCTGGTATCTCTATCTTCAAAGAAAATACCGTGAAAAATTTCAAATCACGTTTTCCTGAACAAATTACTATACAGGGTATTACAGACCAAAAAATTTTTGTCACTGAATCAACTTTAGTCCCGTTTCAAGTAGGAAACCCTCATAAAGTTTTCATTTATAATTTAGATATTGATTTCGATGGAATCTTAGGCCTCGATTTCTTAGAACATTACGAGTGCACGATAGACCTCAAAAACAAACAGCTAATCACAAACTTTAAAACATTACCTCTCCACAAAGTAGAAACTAATTCGCGTAACAATGAAAACCCTAATCAAATTAAAATAGATCCCAGATCCGAACAAATATTCAAGTTAAAATGTCAACTGTCGAATACAGATGCAATTTTGCACAGAAAAGAAAAAGAAAAAGTCCATATCCCCAACGCGTTAGTACACGTAAATGAAAAAGGAGAATTTCTGACATCCATAGTAAACGCAAATGCAATTCCTAAAATTATCGACTTTTCCGATATAGTAATTGAACCCTATTTTAACTACCCTATCCTAAATTTCCAGTTGAACGATAACTTGGAAAATTATTGCCCTGATAAAATTGACCGTACAAACAAAATCAAATCTCGACTTCGAACAGAACATCTTAACGAGGAAGAACAAGAATTAATAACAAATCTTTGCTTAAATTACGAAGACATATTTTACTTAGAAGGAGACAATCTTACTTTCACCAGTGAGATAAAACATCAAATTGAAACTAATAACGCCAAACCCATTTTTACGAAATCATACAGATATCCTCAGGTCCACAAAGAGGAAGTTAAATCTCAAGTAAATAAGATGATCAACGAAGGTATCATCCGGCCTTCTACTTCTCCTTGGTCATCCCCTGTTTGGGTTGTTCCCAAAAAAATGGACTCTTCTGGAGAACAAAAATGGCGAGTAGTAATAGACTACCGCAAACTCAATGAATGTACCATTGACGATAAATACCCTCTTCCTAATATCTCCGATCTCTTAGACCAGCTTGGAAAATGCCAATATTTCACAACTCTCGATCTTGCCTCC